CAGACGTGTTGCTCCCGGACCTCACACATGAACATGCACCAGACCCACCCAACCTCACCACACACCCCAAGCGTCTCGCTGTCCCCTGACACATGCTTTCCTGCCTCCCACGCTCACTCCTTGCTGCCCCCGGGAGCCCCCGCATCTTCAGCAGCGCCTTTCCTCCTGCCTGTGTTCCCAGAGCCTCCGTGGTCTCCACGCCTTGGCCCGCAGCCTTCTCCGCCTCCCCCAGGAAGCCTTTCCTGACTACCAGCAAGCTCCTTCTGTTCTCCCCACGCCCCTGCCACCTCTCCTTGAACATTTCCGTCACCTCCCTGAATGGAGGTCATTTTCTTGACATACATGACTTAGCTATTGCACCATGTAGACTGTGAACCCTTTAAAGACAAGCACTAGGGATTAAAATGGCTTTTATCCTGCACAGAGTTACTACCGTGCCGTGCACACGGAGCCCCTTAAATCAGAGCTGATTGAGTCAGCTCCCCAGAGCAGAGCAGGCCGTGGAGAGGCTGCCCACGGAAGGCTGGCAGCAGAGCCCATCGGCATCCCAAGCGGGCCTGCCGCCTTCAGGTCTGAGCCCTAGGAACAACTCCAGTGGCCTTGAAGAATTAATATTGCTGTCAGAGGGGCTGCCCTTCAAAGGGTCCTGATAGCTCTTGTTATATGCAAAGTGGAAAAGGTAAGGGGACTGTTCTCTGCATTTCCTGCCTTTCAATTGAGTGAGGACAGACAGATGATTTATTGGGCATTTCCTAGCCTCTCCTTCACCGTAGGAAACCAGCCTGAAAAAAAAAGGTGCAAATTTTAAAAAGATGTGTGGCTGTTTTGGGGGGTGGTGGGGGAGAATTCCTGCGTACCATTAAAGAAAAAAAAAAAAACTCTCTACCAGCAGGAACTCTGATCTAGAGGCAACTAACCATAAATTTCCACCACCCTCTGAGAGCTCAAAGCACTGGTGCTGGGACCGGGAGGGAGTGGGGCCGGCAGAGTGAGGCTGTGAAGTGCTGTCCTCGCTCAGCTCCCTGTTTCCAGATGATCAAGCTTGGGCTTAGGGTGGTGGCAGTGTGGCCTGAGTCATCAGCCATCACCACGGAGGAGCAGGGGGTGCAGGGGCCTTCAGAACCTTTCAAGTGTTGGTTTCAGTTGGAAACAGTTAAATATCTCCACCCCACCCCTTCCCCCAAGAGAGAGAGAGCACGAGTGAGCCATGGAAAGGGGCCAAGAACTGGGGGCTCAGCAGATGCAAAAGCCTGACGCATAAACTTAGCTTCCCTTCACTCTGCAATGGGAGTTAGTTTCCTAGGGCTGCTCTAACAAGGTTTCACACACTGGGGCTTACCACAGAAATTTATTGTCTCATAGTCCTGGAGGCTACAAGGCTGAAATCAAGATGTCAGCAGGGCCCTGACTGGTGTGGCTCAGTTGGTTGGGCATCATCTAAAAGGTTGCTGATTCGATTCCTGGTTGGGGCACATGCCCGGGTTTGGGGCTCGATCCCCAGTGGGGGGGCATGCAGGAGGCCGCTGATAGTGGTTGGCTCTCACATGGATGTTTCTCTCTCTCCCTCTCCTTTCCTCTCTCTCTAAAAAATCAATTTAAAAAAATATTTTTAAAAAGATGTCAGCTGGGCCATGCTGCCCCAAAAGCTCTAGGAAAGAATCTTTTCTTGCTCTTTCTGTCTTGTGGTGGCTGGCAATCCTTGACGTTCCTTAACTTGTCGCATCACCCTGATCTCTGCCTCCACCTTCACATGGCCGTCTTCTCTGTGTGTCTGTATCTNGTCGCATCACCCTGATCTCTGCCTCCACCTTCACATGGCCGTCTTCTCTGTGTGTCTGCATCTCCCAATGTATGTCTGTCTCTGTCTCTTCTCTCCTTATAAGGACACCAGTGATACTGGAATAAGGGCCCACCCTACTCTAGTATGACCTCCTCTTAGCTTACATCTTAGTTACATCTGCAAAGATCCTATTTCCAAAGAAGGTCATATCCACAGGCAAGGACTTCAACATATCTTTTTGGACACAATTCAACCCACAACAGGAGTCAAATGTTTATTGTCTATGACCACATTGGGAAGACTTAGGTTACTTAACCAGTGACTGTGTGTGTATGTATGTGTGTGTATCTGTGATTTATATTTATATAGCATCATATATATACACACAAATACCTATACATATATGTGTTGTGTGTATATATATATATATAAATACCTATAATATAATAGGTATTTGCCTATATATACATATAATATTATATGTATTTATATGGTGTACTTATATAATATATATGATACTATATAAATATATATGATACTATGTAGATGACATTATACATATACAAATGGCAGGTATTTGTGACTTATATATATGATGAATGAAATAATATAAATATATGTGACACTAATAAGTATATATGACACTGTATGAATACAAATCATAAAAGCAATTCTGAGTAATGCCCTAATTTTATTAATCTGAAGTGTAAGACCACAGAGCTGCTCTTAATGCTTTTCCTGTGGTTTTCCCACTAAAGAGGAGGTGGGGAAAGTCTGTCTTTGCCGCAGACACCAGCACTTGCCCAGCTGGACTCCGGAGAGGACTCAGCATGTGGGATGGACAGAGGCGCTCTGTGTCTGCCTGCCTGCCCCCAGCCCCATAGGGCAGCAATGTTGCTGGCCACGCAGGGCTCTTCTCTACCTTGTTTCAGAGGAGAAAGCCCAGGCCCGGAAAAGTGGCTTGCCCAAGTCCACACATGCACAAGCAGTTCCTGAAGTGGAAGCTGCCTCCACACACCCAAGGGCACCCCCACTCACACCACTGCCTTCTGTATCTCCTCCGTGCCCCACTTTTCCCACAAATAGTCAGATTTTTCACTTGAATTTCTTTCACTGAGCATGCCCAAATGTGGTCACAAAAATAGCACTATTTTCCCTTCAAATAAGCTGAGAAATTATCTTCATGGAGGTCTTACTACATGCCAAGTTTAAAGTACTTTGTGTTCAGTTGTTTTGGAGTTGTTGGTGAGATGGGGGTTGGGGAACCTTCCTTTTTCAATCTTATAAAGGTTTTTTGTTTGTTTTTTTCATTTTTTCAAACTCCAAGCTGACTGACCAAACGTTTCATCTCATTTTCTGGACACAGTGGCCTGCCTGGGATGTCTTTTATTAATGAGTTGGAGACTCGGGTCTCTCAGGGGCTGCCTGTCTCCTAAGCCTCTTTGAAAGCGGCCTTCAGAAGACTTGGCATGGCTCTCACCCTCACAGGCACTCCTGTGCCCCGGCAGCCCACCTACCTGGATCCCCACCTGCTCTCTCCACTTGGTGAGGCTGCCCCACTTCCCTTCAGAAGCCCTCAGGCCTGATTCACTCTCCATCCTCTTGCTGGGATCACCCAGCAGGAAACGGGCCACATTCAGGAATGCTTTTTCAATGGGGTTCTGGAGGCATTCTGCTTGGGACCTTTGCTGGGGAATTTTGTGTCAGGGCCTTCGCCCATCCAGGGCTTCCAAATGACTGGCAGAGATATCATGCAGACTCTTACCCTGCCTCCGCCGTTCCCCACTTCCTTTCACCCCAGCCTCCCCACTTGAGAAAACCCCTGTCTGTACCCAAATAAACCCCGAGCTCTTTACAGTGCCCACTCCACAGCCTCTGACGGACGAGAGGCAGAGCTCAGAGTGGCACTGCCTGCCTGGTTCAATACATCCTAATTCAGAAAAAGCCTAGATTGTGGGCTTCAGACTTTAGGGACCATCAAGATCCCTTGGGAAGCTTGTTAAAACTGCAGATTTCCAGTCCCACAGCTGAAAATCGTATTGATCTGCATACATAAAGCACCGAGAGGATACTGGTGCTCGTGGGCTAGGGGCCACCCTTGGAGAAATATGGCCTGATTCTTGGTCAGGTGTGCGACATGGGGTCTCTACCTCCACTATGAGGAAGTGACTAGAAGGAAGTAAAGACCAGAAGTGAGAGGGTACAGACTGAGGCACAAATATAAGCCAGATGGGTGTGGGCTGGGCTGGGCTGGGCCTGGGAGGGGGGTTGAGGAAGGACAGGCACTTCCATGTGTAACTGCTCGGGGACTAGCGCTGTAGGGCTCCATGTGGAAACTGCAGCAACAGTGACAGGAGAGACGTTTAAATCTCCTGCTGCAATGTGGGGATGGCAGAGCCTCGTCCTGGGTCTGGGGCAGGCCATCAGGCCACAGAGGAGCTGCCCCTGAATTCTGATGGGGGAGCTCCTTCAGCAGCTCCTCGGAGGCAGCACAGCCTGGTGAATAAAGACCCTGGCTTTGGAATCACCCTGCCTGGGTGATTGTCACTTGTCTGGTCTCTCTGTGTGAACCTGAGCAAGCTGCTACTGTCTCTGTGCCTCCGTTGCCTCATCTGAAAAGGAGGACAATGGCATCCACCTCGGGATCACTGAGAAGACCGAGTAAGGCAATACTGCAAAGTGCGGAGCAGTCCTGGGAGCAGAGAGGGCTGGATGAACATGAGCTGTTGTCATCTGTTCTCCTAGCTGCTCCCATCTCCCATGGTCTTCTGCAGAATTAGGCCACAGGAAAAATTTGGATAGCTTGTCTCACTGTTCCCAGAAAGCATTTGGCTTTCCCTTTTGCTCCCTCTGAAAGCTCTGGACACCTATGAATGCCGGTTTGGAACAGGCATCTCCCTTCTTCTCCAAGTGACCCCACCTCGTGGGACATTTATAGCCCTTCCCGTGATCCTGAAGGAACCGCTCACCAGATGGGGGCCAGACCTCTGCAACTGAAAACTCTGGTTTTGAATTCCAAACCCCTGCCTGACGAAGGCTGCATGATCTACAAGGTGAGATCGTGAGTTCCAGGTTGGAATCAAAGGCTCTGGAACAGATGGAGAGAGGAAATGCACACACGCGGAGCCCCGGACAGCACGCAATTAATCCCCAAGTAGGCCGCAAGGGCTTTTGTGCTTGTTTCAGCATCTGAGTGCTTTTTGCCTTGGTTTCCTCCTACACGGTGGAGCCAGCACCCACAGGCATGTCGTGGTGCGTGGTAAACCAGCTCCTTTTAAGTGCCGTGTGATATTCGGAGCAGTAGTACTGTTGGCTTTCTGTTCTCAGTGATCAGCTGCGAGGACCTAAGTGAATGAGAGCTGCTATAACTTTATACATAAAAGATCCTTATTTACCATAGTAACCAAGCATCCCCACCAGCTTGTCATCCCCTCGGGCTCTCATCAACAGAGCACGGCTGAAAGGTGAAACCCACGTTTTGTGCTCATCTGGTGTGTGCCACAGACATCCCAAGGTGAGTATTCCTGAGCCCAAGAAGTGAGGAAAGGCGAAGCGACACCTCTGCAAGACAGAGACTCAAAAACCTTTGGGCACACATCCGAACACCTGCCTTGTGTCCTCGCAGGGCAAGGCCTCACTCTTGTGCTCCATGGAAGGACCTGGACCGGCCAGGGTTCACCACAGGGCACCAGGGGCCAGCCTCCCTCCCCCGCCGCTCCTTGGCCAGCTGGAAGGCAGAGGCTGAGAAAAGCGCCACAGTATGCCATGTTGACTCTGCTGAGTTCAGAGAGCTTCCCATTTGCCTTGGCCAAGGAGAAAAGTTCTTTATTCCCCCAGCCTCCAGGCCTGCCAGCCCCAAGGCTGAGTGAGCAGGTTTCCCCTCCCTTCTTTGACCCCCACGCTGTGACTTGCAGAGTTCAATGAAAAGGCCCATCCAGACGGGCCAGGCTGGGTTTGCAAGGAGCCTGCTTTATCCCCAGTGCATGCCCACTGCTCCCTCCCAGATCAGCCAGCCAGGCCGGCCCAGTGATACTCCTGAGCTGGCTTTTTCTTTCTTTTTCTCCTAAGTCTAGAGCCCAGTTATTTACCCAAAGAAAACAAGGAAGTGACAAGGTAACAGAGTACACATGTTGTGAAAATATGCAGGCTGAGGCTGAGGAAAAGAAAACATTCTTCCATAAGTAGCTGCCTTGTTAATTCATTTTTTTCTCCAGATTAGAACCAGCCATTTCTTGTGCTCCTTCAAGCACCTTCTGTGGTTTCCTGACAGCTGCCTTCAAGGGGTGAGATTTGGCTTGAAAAATGGGCCATCGGTCATGCTTCGAAGGGAGGGCAGAAACCAAAATTCCCAGATTGCTCAAATTCGCTGCTCCCTTTCTAGATGGGAACGGAGGAGGGAGAGGTGGCGGGAAGAGGATTGTATAAACTCCGAGGCGTCACCTGATTTTCCATAAGAAATGACAGCTCAGTAATGAACGGTCCTTGGGACGTGCTTTTTTACCTCCCCTGGAATTGGTTTCCGATCCCTGGCAAGCTTCTGCGCCGTAGCCTTGAGCTACAGCCACAGGCCGATTCTCGGCAATTAAAAAATAATATTGGCCCTGATAGAGAACTCTTGGGCACCCCCACACACATACACACCCTTTTCATTATGTGCCAAAGATCACTTTCCCAAACCTGTTTCGGAACAGCTGGCTGCATCTGAGGAGCAGGTTCCAGCCCTGCAGACCCTGAGTGGACTGGGGAGGGGCAGTGTTATTAATAGCATTTGTTCCGCCTGGTGTCTGGGGCAGAAGAGGGGTAATCTGTGTCTTTCGGGGAAGTTGGGCCATAATCCGTTTGAAGCTCAATTTTTCTTCACCAGGTCGTTTAAGCATCATGACTGACACAATGGCAGAGAAAGCCAGCGGAGAGGCTCGCTGTGGCCAGCATCCCTCTGGTATAAATCTTCATGCTGCTCATTTTTCCTTCCTCGCTGTTCCCAGCCTCCTTTTCAGCCTGTGGGTGTTGGCCCACAGCTTGGCCAGGCTCCCTTCAGGAGAGGTCACACCGCAGAGGCCTGGACAGTCCCTGTTAGCATTGCTGTGGTACTTTCTGTTAACAGGAGGTCTCTGGAGCTGGGCTGTCTGTCCCAGCATGGGACAGGCCTTTGAGAAAGAGTATGGAGTGGTCCCCTTTCCCAGAACAGAGGCTGGTACCCTGAGTGGGTAGCTCAGGTTGCAGGGGCCTTGCCATCCCTTGTCTATAGCCACAGAGTTCCTCAGCTCCCCACCACCAGCACCCAGTAGCCTTCACCTCATTGGGTGAATATCTCACTGGCTCCCCACATGGCTTGCCGCCACCATAAGGCACCTTCCTAAGAGCCCAGGAGAGGGCTGGACTTCAGCCCTGGAATGATCTTGATTTGGTTGGGTTGAAGCTAAAGTGGAAAGCCTGAGTGCAAGGTTGATTATGGGTCTGATGATAAGGTTTGGCCTCCGGGTAGGTGTCTCCCACTGACAGAGCTGGTGGGCAGAAGGGACTTCCAATCAGAGTCTGAGGCCTAGTGGTCAAGGGGGCCTCGGAGTGCTAGTGTTTGGGGCAGGGGTTGGGAAAGCCCAGCCATGCCCCCTAGTGAGCACTCTTAACATGGGCCACCAGGTTCCCACTGGGTGAACACAGCCTCTCCCCACCCTGGGCCAGGCTCCAGTCTCTGGCCGTAGGTGAAAGACAATTTCCGATGATTGTTTTCAGATATTCTACGTCCAGTGCATGAAAACACAATAGTGACAGGAAAATCCACTCCCCACACTCTGCGCCCCACACACACCACCACAATACAAAGATGGTCCCATCTCTCACTATGGGAAGGTCAGAGGACCCTTTTCTCATTATAGTCCTTGATGTGGGTCCAAGGGAAGCAAGGCCTTTGAACTCTGCCACATCCACAGCCGGCCCAGCTGCGAGGGTGTGGACGGAGAGCCAGACAGGACGTGCTGCCTTATCAGGGGCCAATCTCAGGCCCTCCTGTGAGGGCCAAGCTTCCTCCAGCAAAAGGTGACTTAGAGCCATTTGTTCAACCATCTGAGGAGGCTGAGAAGGGCGCAGGGGCAATGAGATCTGAGTCTGTCAGAGCCAGGCCTTTCTGTGGGGACTGTGTTCTAGTCCCAGGCACATCCCTCCCTTGAACTAGGCCCTTCACTTTCTCACCTTTCCATTTCAGCCTTCTTTAAAATGCCCCTGAGCAGCCCTGGCCAAGTGGCTCAGTAGGTTGGAGGGTGGTTCTGTACACCAAAATGGTACGGGTTCAGTCCCCTGTTGGAGCACATGCAGGAGGTGGCCGATCGATGTTTCTCTCTCTTTTCCTCTCTCTAAAATCAATTTTTTAAAATTTCCCATTTAAAAAGATAAAATGAAAAGTTTCTGAGCAGCAAATAATGGTGCAGAGAAATGACTACTAAGCCTTTGGTGAAGAGCAGGGAATGAATTCTGTTGACATTCACTTTTAAGAACCAGCCTCTGGGCTTCTGTGATTGTTGCTGAAAGGTTTTTCTCTGCATTCTGGGTGAGTCTAGTTCAGATGCCCCCTACTCTCCCGACCTCTGCCTTCCTTTACCAGAATCTGAGATGTGGAGCATTGCAGGGCTTTGATTGGTCATGGAATCCAACATCCCTACTGATACAGGATGTCCCAACAGATGACCATCCTGGGGTTGGAATTCTTCCAGGATGGGGTACACACTACTTTGTAGACATCTGAGCCACTATTTGAAAGTTTTCATCCTCAGGAATATCTTTCTTACATTGGGGTAGAATTTCCCACTCTGGACTTTGACCCATTGACTTGGTTTTACAATAATTCTTGAGAGCTGGGTACCAGGATGGCCTGGTCCCAATATCAGGCAGAGTAGACACATAAAAAAGGCCAAGCCCTTTCCCCTCTGCTTCTCTCTATATCTCATGCTGGATCATTAATATTTTGATTATGTATTGGACAGACTTACTCCTGCTTTCACCCTAATGTATTTTCATGGTGGGCTTTAACATCTTCGTGTCAATATTATCTGTTAAGATAGTGCTGAAAAGATGCTGTTTTGGGGGGAATATGCTCAGAGGAAGCAACTGCTCACTGTGTGTCTCACTCCATTGGGTTATCCCAGTGCAGCTAGGGCATGTACCTGGATCTCTTCTTCTTCAAGGGGGTTTTACCACTTGCGTCCTTCCCTGGTACTGTGGCCAGAGCCACTGTTGCTGAGGAAGGTGTATCTGTTGAATTCCTTGGGTATGTTAGATGGAAAATTTGAGGACTACTTTTCTAGAACAAGCTTGTTCCTTCTTGCTGCCAACCTGTCACATTTCCTTGGTTTTCGTCACCTGTCTCTCCTGGCTTCTCTAGGTTATGCAGAGCCAGGACTAACCCTCATCTACAGCTAATGAGAAATTTTACTTGGCTTCTTACTAGAACGTTAGCTCTGGGAGGGCAGGGAGTTTGTCTGTTTTCTTTGCTGCTCTGTCCTCAGAGTCTGTAACGATTGGCTGAAGGACTGACTGGTCTCTAAGATGCTGAAAACCACATCTTTCTCTCTTCCACTCTGTCCTAAAAATCTAGAGAATAAGAAAGAGGTGAACCTGGTCCATTGTCTACAGAACTGACTTATTTATCATCCTTGTTAGATATTAGGAAAACAACATCAAGGCCAAATCTCAAACAGCAAATAAGCAGCAAAGCCAGGCCAGCCCGCAGGCTGAGTGTCCCTTGTCTTACATGCTCTGTTATTCCAGTTTCACTCATCATGCGACCTTGATGCATTTGTAGAAAGCTGGTGCTCATGGAGCACTGCAGGGTCTCACCCACTGCAGGGGCTGCCAGATCAACCACGCTCTCCACAGCTCTGTGCACAGATAGTCATGAAATCATAACATACACCTACTGAGCTGGGAGAAACTCCTGGTACCTTGTGGACTAGGAGAATGTTCTAGTCTTTCTTCTCTCTAACCTCTCATCAAACCCCACTACTATAGCTACTATTTTTATTATATCATTTCTCAGCTCTAAAACCTATCAGGTCTTCTTATGTTCTCCAAAATCAAGTCCCAACTTCTCTGCTTGGCCTCCAAGGTTCTTCAGCATCTGGCCCCACCTTACCTATCCAACCTAGCTTCTCATTACACCTTCACTGTGTACTCCCTCCCACCGTCTATGGTTAGGCCACATTGTTCACTGTCTCCCCCATGTCTTCCTTCCTCAATATGCTTGTTTCTGTTGATATCCCCCAATAAGCTCAGAGTTCTATTTTTTTTTTAATTAAATAGACTTTCTTTTTTTCAGAGTAGTTTTAGGTTTATAGCAAAATTGAGCAGGAGGTAAAGAAATTTCCTATATATCTCCTACCCTCGCACATGCTCAATCCCCTACCGACATCCCTCTCCCAACAGTGGTATATTAGTTATAACTGGTGAACTTGCCTTGACTCATCACTATCACCCAAAGTCCGTATTTTACATTAGGGTTCACTCTTAGTGTTGTACATTCTACGGGTCTTGACAAATGTGTAATGACACATACCCATTATAGTATCATACAAATCGTTTCACTGCCCCCACAATCCTCTGTACTTTCCATACCTCCTTTTTATAATTGTATTTTCTGCCCAGTCATCGTGGACAGTGCAAGTTCTGCTTTCTTCACAAAGCCTTTCCCAATGGCCATGTCCACACAGATCTCTCCTTTCCCAGGGCTCCCGCTGCCCCCACCCTTGACTATGCCATCTCCCTGTTAGCTCTGCCTGTGTAACTACAGTAAGCATAGTACCTGGATTCCTCCGCTGTGCCTGGCCTGTGGTAGGAGTTCCATAAGCAGGGCCACCATTGCATAGGAGCCTCATTCACGCGGGAAGGGGAACCCTGGAGTTACGAAATGCCACATCCCTGTTCATAAGTCCTTGATGATTGAATATAACCCAATCTAGGACCTGGAAAAGAAATAATGATCCTTATCATGGTCCAGTTCAATCTTCAGCTGATCACTGACTAACTGCTATGTGCTAACCAGCAGCAATACCAAGATGGATAAAACAGTAATTCTACCCTCAAAGGGATTATAGTCTTGTGACAGAAAAGTAAGGAAGCTGATCGCCATAATACACTGTGAACAGTGCTAAGATATGAATGTATGAAGAATATAGCACTTGCTGTGTAGCGTGAAGAATCAGCAGGAATTTGCCAGGTAGGTGAGTGGGTGGAGGGCATTCCAGCAGGAAGGGACAGCACTGGAGAAATGAAAGTACCTGGCATAGTTAGAGACTTGCAAGTGGCACAGTTCATTTCCCGATGAGAAAATCGGGAGCCCGGTGGTTAAAATGATGGTCTGTGATCCCCAAGAAAATCTGTACCAGATCATTGGCACAGCTGACTGTGTGTTCACGCTCAGTTTCTGCTCCTGAAATCAGAAACTAAAGAATACCATCTCCTGCTTACCACCTCTTGCTCCTCTGAGATGGTAAGCCCCAGAGCCCCGGCGTATCTTGTTCATTTGCACTGTGCTGTGTTGCTTGTGCTCAGTAGGGCGTCTATTCAGCAGTGGAGCGGGATCCTCTGGGGCCCTCACAGGAAGGCTTCAGAAATGGGCAGCTGTCCACAGGCTTCCTGTGAAGCTTGCACTGGACTGTCTCAGCCTACCTCAAACATTCTTCCTCTTTCTAATTTTCTGATATTTTGGATATTAGAAATCTGGTTTAATCGCCTCACTGCCAGTGTGGGCAAAAATAGAGCAGTTTCCACCCCTTACCCGGCTTCCTCTCCCCACCCAGTTGCTAGGCGGTTGGTCTCTGGCTGCCATGTTGGGGTTTAGACGTGACTGGGCTCCCCCACTGCATGGCCCAGTCCCAGGGTGTGAAAAGAGTGCTGGGGTCCGGGCGGATGAAAGGGCTGCAGGCCAGTGTTGTGATTCTGGGCACCTCTAATTTCCCCTTTCTCTGTCTCCCCTCTGCGTCACCAGCAGGAGTTTGCTGGAGGCTTCTAGAGCCGGTCTTTGTTTCACCTGGGAAAGTCCCTGCGGGGAGAGCGAAGATCTCCCCCGAGGAGTGGGCTGGAGCCCTGACCTCTGTCACCTGAATTGTTTGGACCAAGAAGCCCCCATAGGGGTTAGAGGGGTGATCAATTGGCAACGTGCAGAGTAAAGGCCCCTCTCTCCCTCTCCCCCTCCGCTTATTGTGCTTGGAAGGGCAGCGGGGTCAGCGGCAGCAAACTGAAGGGCCGGCCGGCCGCGCCTTGAAAGGGGCCGTTTTGTGTTTCAGTAATGAGCTCTCCCCCCTTGGATGCACTCAGATTTCATGAGTTACAGGGAACCTGTCAACCGCTGTTTTCATTGTATGGGGCTCACAGGGAACTTGGATATAGGGCAAGCTTGTTTCAAAGAGAGCAGGGGAAAGAAAGTGGTGAATAGATGCAACGCGCCGTCATATGCAGATCACAGCCCCGGTTGCTACGGGACACCTCTGCTGCCCAGAGGACCAAATGCCGAAGGTCCTGTATGGATGCGCCGCCTCCTTGGAGATGGGAATGCCACTGCTGAAAGGGCACGGCCCGCGGCCACACTGCCAGCAGCCTGCATCCCAGCCACCTCTGCTCCCGCTGGCTGTTCAGCGGGGAGCCCCTCCCCTAGGAGCCGAAGGAACAGGCCAAGCGATCCTGGAAAAGTGAAAAGAGGCAGGTAGAAAGGGCTTTGCTTTCAGAACCACCAGGCCTCTGCTCACAGGAGGGCCACCAGGGGCCCTGCTTTGGGAACTGGGCCCTGAGGTTAAAGACAGGTTTTCACCTTCTTTGTTTGCTGGGCCCTCTGAGAACACTTGGCAATAACATTCCTTTCCTGATGGGTTCATTTTGTAACTGACAGACATTGTTTTCTTTCCCCTGTTTACCTAACGTGGCCCAGAGTAATGGGACAGGCCGTGCCAACAGAGGGAAGAATGAGCCTATCCTGGTGGCCCCTGGGTCCCCAGACCTAGGTCTCTCTGCCATATAGCTCCTTGTCAATTGGCAGCTTGCAGAGTAAAGACCTCTCTCCCCCTCTCCATTTCCCCACCTTTGGGAACAGAGTAGCCAGGAGCAGAGACCAGAACAGGACCTGTGGGGGAGCCTGAGATTAGGAGAGGACCCAGAATTAAGACTGTCCCCAAGGGGCCCTTCGGCTGTGGGATCACACAAGGCTGTGGGAAACCAGTCTTGCCACTTTGTATAGGACAGGCCAGGGTAGCCAGGACCAGAAACATCCAGAAGAGTTCATGGGTGGGCCGAAAAGAAACCAGGGGAAGGTACTGAGAGAAGTACCTTTCTAATAGCTGCTTACTGAACACCCTACTCTATTTAAAAGGGCAAAAGCATGGCCCTGTCATCTGGGAGTCTGAGTCTGGGGGCCGTGGCTAAGTCCAGAGGGGGCCAGTGCCCTTGGCAACCTCTTGTGACCTCCTGACCCTCTTGTTCTCACCCCCATGCCCACTTTACCACAGCAAAGTTTCTCTTGGTGAGAGTTGTCAGGATAAAGGATTAAGTCCAGAACCCTGCCCTCAAAGAGTCTTCAAAGCTAGTGAGAGGGTAACTTTTGCATATTATGAGACTATCATTTAAGACATTTGGGGCAGTGGCTAAGGGGAGAAGCTCTGGGGCAGTCAGAGGCCTTGGGCCAGGTGGCTGGGGAGTCTCACACACATAAAACCCCTTATTACTTCAAGTTTACGTTCACTTTCCAGTTTGCACTCATATGTATGTCATTTCTTCCCAACTTCACCAACCACTGAAGGTGATTTGTAAGCCTGGAAGCTCTGTAAAAATGTAAGACATAATGACCCTCCCAAGGAGGAGTCTCCAACATTGGCAGGGGTGAGAGGCGGGGACAGTCAAGGAGCAGCAAGTGGCCCCATCTGTCCTGAAGCACAGGACAGATGACCATGTGGAGCACAGGACAGGTGATATCATGAACTATGGCTAAAGAACCAAGCACTGGGCTTGACTCTGCAGAATAGAGAGAGAGTTTGGGTGGCTAGTGGGTTTATTTTCTATTGCTGCTATAACACATTGTCACAAATTTAGTGCCTTAAATAAATACAAATTCATTACCTTACAGTGCTGGAGATCAGAAGTCTGACATGGGTCTCTCTGGACTAATATCAGGGAATTGTCAGGGTGGTGTTCCTCTCTGGAAAATCCATTTCCTTCCCTTTTCTTGCTTCCAGAATCTGCACACACTCCTTGGCTTGGGGCCCCTTCCTCCATCTGCAAAACCAGCAATGGAAGGCTGAGTCTTGCTCACACCTCATCACTTTGACCTCCTCTTCTGCCTCCCTCTCCCATTTTTAAGGACCCTTATGATTACGTTGGATGTACCCAGACAACCCAGGAGAGTCTATTTTAAGGCCAACAAATTAGCCACCTAAATCTCCTTTGCCTTGTAGGTAACATAGTCATAGGTTACAGAGATTAGGACATGGACACTCTTTTTTTTTTTTTTAATAATGTTAAGTTGTCAGTTTTGTTTGTTTGTTTTTATTTTATCTTTATTGATTTCAGAGAGAGGAAGGAAGAGGGAGAGAGAGAGATAGAAACATCAAAGATGAGTCATTGATTGGCTGCCTCTTGCCTGCCAGGGATGGAGCCCTCAACCCGGGCATGTGCCCTGACCAGGAATGGAACCCCGATCCCCTGGACCCTAGGCTGACGCTCAACAGCTGAGCCACGCCCAGCCAGGCAGGACATGGACACTCCTAAGGGACCATTATTCTGCCTACCAGATTTGGTTAGTAGGTTAGTTGTTGTTCGTCAGTTATTAGTTGTTTGTTTGTTACTTGACTGTTTTTTGAGACACCCCCCTGAGACCCGCATTCAAGAGCCAGGTAATCAAGTTTGTTAGAAGAAGGGAAAAGCAAGAGTGAACAGTCTCCAAGGAAGAAGGAGGCCAGCAAGGGAAGCGAACGCTGAATTTATCTCATTGCCTATCAGAATAAATCTCTGAAGCACAACCCCAAGAACTAGAAAACACACTGTTCTGGGGAAGTTTGTTAGCCCCCACACACCCCTGAGACTCCAGTGCATAGCTAGTTTATACTTCATACAAAAACTTGGTCCCAGGTCCTTGGTTTCTGTCCCATGTCCTCCGGTTTAGAAGCAGGGATATTTATAATGCGTTTTTAAATGTCTGGTCAACCTTTTGAAATATTATCTCTAATCCAAATACACTAGTGGGTTCTGCTAAGTGTCTAGTGGTCCCCTAGAGCCTCTCAACCCTACAGCGGGTTTAAGTCCCTCTCTACCACATCAGCGCCAGCCCTGCATGGGCCCTGCCCACTGCCTCGCAGGCTTCACATCTTGCAAGCTGCACTGTCAGCAGCGGCCTCGCCTCCTACCTTGTTGGAAGCTGAAGCTTGCTCTTCAGGAAGGCCATCAAAACTCTTCCCTTTCTTGTCGCACTTGGGGATGGATTTTTGCTGAGGGTCAGGCTCTTCCAAGGTGTGTTTCTCTCAGCAGGGGAGCTGTTCCTCATTTCATAAAAATCAATCTCCTTGATTTACCATAAATATAGCCATTTCGAGAAACTGGACTGTCTTAGAGGGACAGCGTGTTGTCCTTGCTTTTCCTGAAAGCTGTCCTCCAATCTAGGTCCAGATCAGCCTGGATATAGACAGATGGTCCTACAGTCACGAGTGATAATTAGTAACAGTTACTATTTATTGATCGTTGGCTCTTTGCAGGCATAGTGTTAGCTCTTTGTTGATAGCCTGGGTTAGTAACTTGCCCGATTTGAACCCAAGTCTCTCTGACAGTAGAGCCCACTCTCGGAGTCACTACATCAAAAGGTTCCTCTCTGCCTCCTCTCGTTTCATCAGCATAGACCCTTCCCTGCAGTACCCACCCACCCATGCATAGCCAGCCTCTGAGGATCTACTTCATTAGACAGTGCTGGGCCCACACCTCTGGTTCACAAGGCCCCAGAGCCCATTACCAGCACACGATCATCTCCACGGAAGATCTTCTACCTATATAGCCTGGCTTTCATGCCCTCAGAGGGTCTCCCATTGCGTACACGTTAAGTCTCATTGCCTGCTTCGCTAGGTGGGAAGTTGGTTGTAGGTACACCAGGATCTGCCCATCTCCCTGAGCTACTCCTCCAGGTTCAGTAGAACAGGCGTAAAATCGATCTGAGAGCCATCACGCACTCCCAAGACTATTCCTGATTTAGAAAACCTATACTCAAAAAGAATCAGCCCAGGCCATCAGCAAGTGACCTGACTGGCCACTGAACGCTGAGCATGGCTCTGCAGTATTGCTGGTGAGTGGCAGAGAGGACCTCAGGGACATCTTTGTTCTCTATCTCTATTTACTCCCTACATGATCTCACGCTATCTCATAGCTTTATGTGACATCCATCAGCTAGCAGCTCCCAAATTGAATCTCTGGCCTGGACCTGTCCCCTGAATTCCAGAATTGCATAGCTAACTGCCTACTGACATCTCCACTGGGATATCTGTTGGGCATGTTCAGATTAACATTTCTGGAATCAAACTCCGGATTCTCCTCCCAACACGCTCCTCTCTCATTTTCCCAATATCTATAAAGGGTAACTCCATCCTTCCAATGGTTCAGGCCAAAAGTCGTGGAGCCTCCTCTGGGAATTTCACACCACACATCTAAGCCATCAGCAAATTCTATTGGCAGTTCCTTGAAAATAACCCCCAACAACCTCTTACCACCTTGATTTCTGCTTCACTGCTCAAAGCTACCATCATCTCTTGCCTAGATTATTGCAAAAGCCTTCACCTGGTTTCTGCTTCCAACCTCCCATGTCCCCCTTCAATCTATTCTCAACACTGCAGCCAGAGCGAGTCTTCAAAAACATAAACCAATCGTGTCACACCTCTGCTCAAAGCTCTGCAGGGGCTGCCAGCCTTGCTCAGGTAAAGGTCAGAGTCTTTACAATGGCCTACAGGCCCTGCCTGACATGTCCTCCGCATCTTCCCCCACCTCTTCTCCTCTTGCTCTCTTTGCTGTAGGCACACTGGTCTCCACGCTGTTCCTCCAACACAATGGGTATGGTCCCACCTGAGGACCCTGTCCTTACTAATCCTTCTGCCTGAAGTGTTCTATCCCCTGCATCCTGATGGCTAGCTCCTCACCTCAGGTCTCCAAAATGGCACCTTATCAGAAGAGCCTTCCCTCATCTCCCTGCATAGAAGGCAGCCTTGTAACCCCAAGTACCCTCTGCCCCCTTCCCTGCTTTATTTTCCTCTATAGTACTTATTTTCACCTGATATATTTGTGTGCTTTTTATTTACCTCCCCCAACACACACACACGCACACACACACACACACACACCAGTAAGAGTACAGGCTTTATCTACTTTCTCCAAACCTGTATCCCCAACACTTAGAATAGCGCCTTCCTTCCATGTAGTGGGTACTCCATAGTATTTACTAAGTGAGTAAATAAATGAATGAAGTCAGACGTGTCCTCAGGGGGAGGTTCAAATCAAAGGGAATGTGGGGTGTGCCTACTGCTTTGTAGGACTTCAAGCTGGCCCAGCCCTTGGGTCATTGCCATCAGGCAAACTCCTGAGAAACATACTGACCTTCCTGCTTCCATGGTGTGCGTTCCCATGCGGCAGAATATGGGGATGGTCCTTGGCACTCGTTGCTAATGGAAGTGAAAGCAAAGAAAGCAAAAATGAATAACTTACCCCTATGGATAGTGTGACATGGCAGCCTTCATAGGGGCTTCAGAACGTTCCAGCCTGCCGCATACATGACCTGCTACACAATTAGTTAAAAGCAAACTAGCAGAGCTTCACATTTGAGCCCCAGGTTCTGAATATCTTTTGATAACCTCTCTCCTGGAAGGAAGCATCAATTTGTAGGGAAAGGGCCTTGATCACTGACTTCTGAGACCAAGTTGGAAGGAGTAGGTCATAGGATCATGAGGATGAAAATCCAGAAGAAAGTTCAAGGCAGGTGGTCTGGGTTTAGACATCATGCCCCAACCCACGTGCCTTCCAAGACTTGGCAGGTTGAAGGGTGACCAGAGAAAGGAGGGAAGGAGCATGCACTTGAGGGTTATCGCATAGATTCGTGTTTCATCCTACCTACCTCTTGGGAAGTCCTGGGGTATTCAGTGATCTGGGTTGTAAGCTTGGCTTCCCTCCACCAAGACCACCAATTTCCCTTTGCATATATAGACTCACTTACTTTGAAAATTCAAGGGTCTGAAAACAAGTCAGCTCAGAGCCTCCCATGTGAGGAACCAGCCCCTGGTCTTCTGTTTTAAGACCTTTGTCCAGCTGCTTTCAAAGCACCACGCTCCCCTCTGCCCCCATCCAGCTAACCCACAGAAATAGAGGCCCCACCAGAGTGAGCTGGATGAGGGACCTCTTAACTTGGCACTTGAGGTTCTCAGACAATGAACAAAGGCAGCTCAGAGATTTCTTTTATTCCTGCAGCACAAGGACGTAAGCAGGTCCCCTAGATCAAAGGCAGAGAGCCCCAGCCTAAGCTTCTCTTTATCCGAGCCCTGGGACCCGGGCTAGGGCTTTGTGTCTGAGGGTAGCATTGCCCGATTTTGCAAATAAAAAGAACACCCATTTTAATTTGGATTTTAGATAAACAGTGAATAATTTTTTTAGTTTGTGTTCCATAAAATATTTTGGACATACTTATGCTGAAAAATTATGCCTTGTTTGTCTGAAATCCCAGTTGCATTAGATGTTCTGTAATTTATCAGGTAACCTATTTGCACAGCTCAAACGCACTAGCAACTCCCAAATCAGAACAGCCACTTGCCTGACCCATTCTGAGGCCTCTGCTGGCCCCACTATCCCAGGATAAAACAGAGCCTGGGCCCCGGTATCCTCTTGTTTCCCCTTTAGATTTATTCCCCTCTCTCTCTTTAGTCCCCACAGTGTTCTGGAAGGCTGTGACATGGACATCTTATGGACAGTTCTGGACATGGTGGAATCCATGCTCAGGAGGCCAGCTGCTCGGCCCTACATCATCACCTCCTTCTCACAGACCAGTTGTGCCTGGCTGGAATGTAGTGATTGGTACATGTTAGTCTCCCAGGGTTCAAACCCCATCCCATCCTTGTACTAACTGTGTGAACTTAGCACCCTGCCCCTCAGTTTCTGTCTGCAAATGGAGACCCTTGTCAGGATGAAATGAGTTAATACGTGGGAGGCACTTAGAACAGTGACCGGCATGGGAAGACACTGTTATACGTATATGTGAACCCACATATACGTATGTGGGTTCACATATACACTTTCTGCCTCTGCTACTCTGCTGAATGGCTCCCTCAATCACCCACAGTTATTTTGTTTGGGGGTCCAGGCTAGAGCGCAGTGGAGGTCAGCTTCCATATGTCTAGATATTTGCAAGTTATACATCATGTTCTCTCCTCTTCCTTGATGAACATACCTTCATGACATCCTGAAGGCCAAGTTTGGATTTAGAATTGGTAGATTCCTCAGAGTTCCACACTGGTACATGGGGGGCTAAGGAGAGCCAGCCCTGGGCTGGCTTCCTACCCAGCTCCATCTGGGGCTAGGCAGGGCCTTGAGCACATGTGTGTGGACACTCAGCCCACATTTCCAAGCTCTACATCCACACCCCAAAAGTCACCTCTTGGTCACCCTAAGTCCCACAGATACATACATCGTAACAGTCTACCCTTATTGGCAGGACTGACTTAGGTTAGAGGCCCACACCAGCCTTCGGGTTAAGCTCAGGGAATTGGGCAGGGAACTCCAGTACCTGAAGCAAGGTCCAGCAGCTTGATATGTGTGGACTCTTGGCAAACGTGGCCCTTTAACCCGTGGATGCTTGGCCCACGGCTGCTGGCCTCTGGCTGAAAGAGAGCCAGAGCAGAGCCCTCACATAGGGGCCAATGCCCAGTGGGAGTGAGGGGAGCCAATGAAAATGGGAAGGAGGAGTTTCGGAGGTTTCCTAGAAGACTCCTCAGGATGCCCAGGCTCCTCACTGTCAGGGCTGGGCGTCTGCCCGACACCTCGTGCCTCAGGGTCATTCAGGTGTCACTGTCTAGGTCCTGACATAGTGGGGAGCTTGTTTTCCCCCTCTCACACTCCCTGACTCTAATCCCTACCAGCCTGTGCCACTTGGCTGGCCTCCTTGGCAGAAAGGTGACAAAAGAACCTGTCTCTGGAGGGTTAGATCCCTCAGCCAGAACCCAGAGCCTCCTTGGGACCACATGAGGCAACGGCCAAAGGTCCTGCCCTCCCGTTGCCACCTGGTTTCCTCTCACCTCTCACTGCTGGAGTGTTGGTGGGAGTCACTCAAAACAGGTTCATTGATCTTCAAACAAGCATGTGCTGCCACACAGCTTGGAGCAAGCCTCTTCTCTCCAATCCTATACGCACACTCCGTCCCCACTGCCTGGACCGGCCTTCTCTGCTGAACCTTACCTCCCAGGGTCCCCACATCTGTCTCGACTCCAGCCAGCTCCCCTCCTCCCCTGGGCTTCTCCCATGCTCCTAACATCTGCTCATCTACTCCTGCTCAACTTTCTCCACATTGCTGTCCAAAGCCCTTTCATCTTTCAAGGTTCACTGTAAGTTTCACCTCCATGATACTCCCAGTCCTTCCATTAACCCTTCTCCTGCTTCATCACCTGTGTGGTTTACCACCTGGACCCCACATCTGGCCCATGAATTATATTCTTGGTAGTTACTTTACCATACGGCATTATTAGTCTTTACTTGTTACATAAAAAATCATAGGACTAGAAGACATCTAGTCCAACCCTCATTTTTTGAAGATGAAACCAAAGGAGAGATAGGTTTCACAACTTAGCCAGACTGAACCTACTGGAATTACACTC